GAGAGAGAGAGAGAGAGAGAGAGAGAGAGAGAGAGAGATGGCTGCAGCGCGGCCGGATGTGACTGCGCAGGTACAAAGAGAGAGAGAGAGAGAGAGAGAGAGAGAGAGAGAGAGAGAGAGAGAGAGAGAGAGAGAGAGAGAGAGAGAGAGAGAGACACACACACACAGGGTATCAGTGAGTGTTGCTGTGCGCCACGGTGTAGCCGTGGCGGGGGTCCACTTGTTTTGTTAAAAAAAAAAAGATTCTCTGCAGGTTCTGACATCTGGGATCTCATGTACCTGTTTGCAGGTATTTCAACAATCTACCTTTGCGTGACGCCTTCAACAATGCTCTGGCGGATCCAACCTTGGATATTGTTGCACAATTGTAAGTAATCATTCTGACCCGTGACCGCAACACTCTTTACCAAGTTTACCTGCAAAGAAAATCCAATTGTTCAGCATTGGATTTAAATTTCAAAATTGATGTAAATTATGTTAATAATACTTAATATTAACTTAATAATATGATTTCTACTCTCGTTCTTCAGTCGCAACTGCAGGTGGCGGCCGTGGATTTAAATTTTGAAATAATTACTAAACTTATGTTAATAAATATTATGTCTATGGACTCTATTCTCATGCTTCGCATCTTGCTGCCAGGAAGGCGCTTTTGTGCATAAGCATTTGACTGTCGTTGTGGATATACGGCAACTTCGAAAGACTTTGACCTGTCCTCGCCCAGCTGCGCGATGTGCTGTCAACTTGTCATGCATAGGCACAAATATGTGAGCACGAACTATGCATCGACCAGACATCTACGGGTTATCTTGTCTGATGCAGGTGGATGCAAGAGTGCCAAAGAGGGGCTGGGGTGGGTTGTGATTGCGATATATTTAATTGTGGTGTTTTTTCTTTTATTGGTGAAAAACTGTGAAACAGGGCAAAGCTGGCACATGGTCTTCTGTCAGGGAAATATTCTGTTCCATCTGTGGAGGTATGTTTTTTTTTTTTTGTTGTTCAACTTTTCTTTTCCTCCGGGTGTCATTTGTGGTGTTTCTTTTTTTTTCTTTTTTTTTTTTGAAATAACCTCGACAGAGAGCAGGTGTTAGGAGCAGGTATTAGAGGAGACACAGAATATTTGTAGGTCTATTGATATTCACCATTATTCAGTTTCTGTAAAGCAGGAGAAAATTAGGTTTTAGGGATCTCTGAAGATGCAAGACGAGGTTGTACACGGGTACCTTCTAAAGCTTGGGGGGGAGAGCAGGGTGATGTCTCACCACAGAGAGAGAGAGAGAGAGAGAGAGAGAGAGAGAGAGAGAGAGAGAGAGAGAGATTGTGTGGAGCTGGCTCTAATAATGTATGCATCTCATGTGTTGGTTTCTTGTTGTACGGATTCAGGCATCTTCGAAGGAGGCTGCAGAGGGTGAGAGTGTTATGCAGGTGAGTTGTGTGCACATGGGTGAGAATTTGGATGATTTCCCTACTGCTTCTCCTGCCACTTGTTCAATGTCCTTTGTGTGTGTGATAATTACAAGTCACATAGAAGATTATGCTGCTGCCGAAGACGGGCACAGTCTGCTGTGTTGGTTATGGGTTAGGCCTGGATGGCCTGGCCACGGTCCAACTCACAGGTCATCTTCCCGTGGATGTCCTTTTTAGGATTCTAATTTTTAAACCACCAGTGGCTCTGAGGCTCTTTGTTTCCCGAACTTCTTTTTTTTTTTTTTTCCAAACGCCCCCTCCAGGGTTACAGTCTTCACCCGACTAGAACGCCCGGTAATTATGGCCGTATCTGGACTGAAAGTTGCACCAAATACAGCTATAATGACCGGGCGTTCTATTTGGGTGAAGACGGTAGTGGTGCTGGTAAGAGCAGTCACCGCTAGCACCTGGTGTGAGGTTTATTTTTCCCGACATGGATTTGCAGTGTGTTGCTGGACATGAATGAACCCCTAATCTAGGGAGATATCCCGGGCGCCCGGGTCCCGATGTCACGCCCAGTTTGGCGACCGGGTGACCGGCCGGGCATGACCCCCGGCCATGGCCCCGGGAAGCCCCAGGCCAAAAAAAAAAAAAAAAAAAAAAAAAAAAAAAATCAAATCCAAAAAAATCTGAAAAAAAATAAATAAATTTATGTTGTGTAGAATTGCAATACAAAGAACTTGTGGCTGAGGGTCACATCAGAATTCCTCACGGAACTAAAGATTAAAAAAAAAAAAAAAAATCACACTAAGGCACCCCCCTTTAAACGTGAAACGGTTTTCACCTTTGCAGACGCAGATGCAGATTCCAGGGTTCGATCCCCGGACCTTACCTTACCCATGTACAGTATCGAGTTGACCCCCGAGTGTTTGAACCCGTGACCTGTATTTCGGTGGTGGCTTGACGTCTGTCGTAGTTCTGTGTAGTTGTAGAGGATCGATCTGTAGATCTGTCGAGTAGGGGTCACAGCTCTGTAGAGGTCGTAGCTGTAGGCATTCTGAAAGGTCAAGGTCGTAGCTCCTACAGTCCTGAAAGGTCAAGGTCGTAGCTGCTACAGTACCCGAAAGGCCAATCCCACAGACTTCCGGAAGCTCCGGAAGCAGCCTTTCGAAGTTTGTCTCAAGTTTAGACAGAGGCAAGTGGGCAAGTGGTGAGCCCAACTCCGTTACGTCGGCAGTGCGACTGCATCGAGTTGGCAGTGCAAACACATGCAGTCAGCGGTACCCGTCCAGTCAGTCCCAGTCCAGTCCAGCAAGTACCAAGAGGGACTGTGTGCACCATGGGCCAATGGAAATGGGCAGACCAACGAGTTACAGAAGTATAAATCAAGAGGCAGCGCTCAGCCATTCATTCATTCGCTGCGTAAGCCATGCGGAAGTGCTGCTACAGCGTCTTGTGCGAAGGTGGTCTGCAGGTTGCCTGAAGACGAAGTGGGCTGAAGGGAGATCGTAGCCATAGTCAGTAGTGGTAGTGCGGCCATAGCTGCTGTAGGAGGAAGTTAGACATAGCGTATGTGTGTGGTGGTTTTCAGGGTGATCCAGAGTGAGCGTGTGTGAACAGTGGGGTTGGACACAGTGACGAAGGTTGGGATGTTCAGGCACTGATGTGCCATCGCCTGTTGAAGAGAACTTGCATCTGGACTGTGTTCTTGATTTCCATATCTCTAAGCTTTGAGTGGGCGCCCTGCACCAATGAGAGTCTCCATCTGTTTGCATGTGTGCGAAGTGGAAAGAAAGCGAGTCTGATTGCAAACCCCTTTAGCCCCTTTAAAATTCATTTACACTCCCCTTTCCCCACCCTTGACAGCCAACACTCAAAAAAAGAAAAGAGCTCGGATTTGGGCTCCTCTCGGACAGCGGGGGAAAACCTCACCGCCTTTTTTTTTTTTTTTTGCCAAGATCAGGTCACCGGACGTCATACCCCCCCGGGGGCTCACCCCCGGGTGATAAAAATCTTCCTTTTTTTTCGCTGGTGGCACCAGCCATTTTGGTGCTGTAGCACACTGCTCATCCAAAGAACCTGAATGCGACGTTTGCAGTTCTTCAGGTGCCTAAGTGAGGTACTGGCTGGTGGTTTAAGAGAAACCTGAGAAAAGTAATGAACTGGGACAATCGACTGATCGACCGGGGGGAGAGGTTGAGCATCTTTTATCTTCTTTTCCTTTTTTCTTTTTGATTGAGCTTGTTTTCCCGATGTGGAGATCTGATGAAGACTGGTGTGCTTTTCGGTGTTGTGATTGATTGCACCTTGCCGCTGACCTGCACAGGCTCAAGAAGGCATTCCGCCGAGAATGTTCAAAACTCTCATCGGGACAGGGCATCCTGAATTTTCAAGTGGAAGACAGCAGGTGTGTACAGGTTCAATGCTACGCTATGCTTTTTTTTTTTTTTTTTTTTTTTTTGTCCCTTATCGAATAGTTTTTAAGACTTGTTATTCTTGTTTTTCTTTTGGACAAGGGGGCAGCGGGAGCCGTGGAGGAGGACAAGGTGGAGAGGGGGTTGAGGAGAGGGGGGAGCTGGGAACATGGATTGCATCATATCTGATTTGTGTACAGCGTAGATGCTCGTTATCCTGTTGCTAGATTTTGGACCGTAAGGTATTTGACTAATGACCGTGTTTCATTCATAGGTGCGGCGCATACGTGAGATGTGCTGCGCAGCGCGGTGTGCGAATGGCAGATGTGCGAAAAAAAAAGAAGAAAAAAAAGGAACCGTGATGCGTGTATACACGCTGGAGAGAGAGAGAGAGAGAGAGAGAGAGAGAGAGAGAGAGAGCCCTTTGGCCGCTTTCACATTCTTCAGAAATCCCCTGCCCGCTCCTCAAAAGTTTCCCTGCCAACTTAGCAAGGATGTCGTTAGCAGGAGGAAGGATAGTCGCTGGGCTTGTAGTAAGGAGGGAGCAGGCCAGCTATATATGGTGTAGCTTCGAATTCAGGTCCGTGTTTGAATTCAGTTATGGGTTACTGACTTACTAACTCGGCATCTGATTTTCAGGGCTTCACTCCACTACTCACCAAATGTGCAAAACTACCGTAGAATGAGTCTTCTCCTAGAAACTGGAACCATGCAAGCCATATGTTTTTCTTTTGTGCAAGTGCTGATGAGTGGAGCGAGTTCCTTAGGGCCACAGTGCACGCAAGAAAAGGAAAAGAAAAAAAAGAAAAAAGAAAAATAATGAGACAGCTACTGTAGTGTTTATTTGTAACCCATAACTCTTGGAACACAGACCCGAATCCGGAATTCCGAATCCAGAATATATTGCTGGCCTGCTCGTGATCCTCCAGCAGTTTGATGAACGTCCTTTCCAAATGCGCGGGATCCCTGATAATTTTTTGCAGGGGACCCTTTGGAAAAGAGACAGATCTAATGAGGAGTACGATGTGGCGCCAAATTGCTTCCTATTCTGTGCACTTAGAATTTTCAAAGGGGAGGCACACATTTGGTTACCACAGCCTGCCCTTTTGATTTTTTTTTTTTTTTTTCAATTCGTAATTGCGCCGGATCACGTCCACAGGCACGTGTGCGCGTGCGCAATGCGGCGCACGTGATGCGCCGCATGTATGATTTCATTGCATCTATTCTGTTCATGATACTAATTTTATTAATTGATTTAGTACTATTTACAATTTTACATAATGTACTTAGTATTAAGTAACGGCCTCTTAGTAGAATTTGGCCTGCCTGCATCTGGCTGTGTGGATGGTCCAGGAACAACTTTTGGTGGACTTTAACTTTGGCATACCTTATGACATCCAGGATAGAAAAAGGCAGTAGAAAAAAAAAAAGAAAACGAAAAAAAAAAAAAAAAAAAAAAGACAGTAGAAAAACCTGGCTGCATCTGGGTGCGTGGGTTCCGAGTGAATTGAACTGCTGTTGAAGCACCCGTTAACCGACGGGGAGCGGTTGTACCCTGTATGTGGCGGGCGGGCTAAGTACCTGTGGGGGGATTACGTGCAGATGAGGAGCGAAGTGTACGAGAATTGCCGTGTCCGTGTGGTGTTGTGTGTGGTGTGTGGAGTTCGACGCTACAGCCTTGCAGGGGTGGGTTGGATATCACGACCGGTATGGTTGGTGGATATCACGATTGGTATGGTTCGAGTTTTGAACACATTGTCCTGGCTGTAGTGGTCAAAGCACCAGTACTTGGCCCAGCTATCGATGCCGAACCTGAAAACGGCCTGCGCGCCGCTTCGTGCCGACCCGCCAGCGCAACCCAAAAAAAACGTTTTGACTGGTGGCGCCAGTCTTTCAGGTTGGGTACCCCGGGCGTCCGGAAGTTGCAGGGCGTTAACGACAACACCCCGCGGCCGATGTATGGGCCAAGTACTCGTGGTTTAAGATACTCGGCTCGTGAGGGTCAAAGCACCAGTACTTGGCCCAGCTATCAATGCCGAATCTGAAAACGGCCTGCGCGCCGTTTCGTGCCGACCCGCCAGCGCAACCCAAAAAAAACGTTTTGGCTGGCGGCACCAGCCTTTCAGGTCGGGTAACCTGGGCGTCCGGAAGTTGCGGGGCGTTAACGACAACACCCCGCGGCCGATGTATGGGCCAAGTACTCGTGGTTTAAGATACTCGGCTCGTGAGGCCGAGGCCACCGGTTCGAATCAGTGCTTGCACGGAGGAGGGCTTAGAGGCCTAGATATGCGGATCGATGAACTGCTGAATGAATTAAAACCTTGCTGGATGGGCAGATGGGTGTGAGGGGGGTGATGTGGAATGGTTATGGAGCTTAATGGTGGTCGATAGGGGTTGAGAAAGTGGGGTATTGCAGGATTTGGCACGCACAACAAAAGAGGTTGGGCTTGCTAAGGGAGCATGTGTCGAATTGGGTACATGGGGCATGTAATGGAGAGAGGAAAGGGGGGGAGGGATAACTTGTATGTTTGCTGGTTTGTCAATATTGCCTTGGGGTCTGGTTGGGGGGAGTGTGGGGGTTTCAAAAGAGTACTCAGGGGAGGTACTATGTCTGCTGACCAACAGCAAGCGCTGTGTGTGTGCGTGTGCTCTTTTTTTTGTTTGAATTTGGCAGACTGCCTTTTTTTTTTTTTTTTATCTAATCTATATGAGGATACCTCACTCTAGCTAACTACCTACATTTGTCCATCTGATTTCGTAGGGACGGCAAGGGTTATGGTTTGTGCTCCCATCCATCCCAGGCCTATTCTGCTCGTTGCGTGGAGCAGTACCCCAGCTCCTAACACCTGGCACGAGCTGCCTCTTCGCTTCCACAACCAGCCAGGGGAGGCCCAAGCCAATTATCTCCACTGGTGAACCCGAAGCGTAGCGCAGGGGGCCGTGGGGGATCGAATGGACTGACTACGTGGAAAGTCGAACCGACGACCTCCTGAATACCACTTACGTGCTCAACCAACTGAGCTACCCTGTCTTCTAGTATTAGTACTTTAGTAGTATTCAACTTTTGTGTGTGTTGTGTTCTGTGTTCTTTGTCCTCCATTGCGGTTGTGTAGGATGCTCTCGAGTTTTTTCAGCATCTCTTGGATGTTGTGGAACGGACGGATTCAGGACGAAGCGTCGATCCATCCAAGTGCTTTCGGTTCTTGGTGGAGGAGAGAATTCAATGTGCAGCCTCTGCAAATGTGAAATACAACTACAGAGCTGATAATGTGCTCTCGCTAGGAATCCCGCTCGATGCAGCTGTAAACAAAGGTTAGTAAAAAGGATCAATGGAAAAAGTTTAAAAAAAACACAGCCAACTTGAGCCAAGCCAAATTTCACGTCCACTTAATCCGTAGACGAAGTACAACTCACAAAAGTTGAAAAGTCGCAATCCCTCAACTCGTCAGTCAAGAAGAACATTGGGAGTACATGGATGATATAAAGTGCGGCATCTCTCCGACATCGGCATTGTGTCAAGTTTTTTTTTTTTTTTTTCGTGTGTGTGTGTGTGTGTGTACGTGTGTGTGTTCTGTATTTACCTTTTGCAACTTTGCGTACATCTTCTCTCGGCCTTTTCAGGGTTTTGTTTTCTGTTAATTTCATGTGCCAGCATTTGGTCCCTGCCAGAGTCTTAAATCACCACTCCAACGGCCGCTGCACTGCTCATTTCTTTTCTTCTTTGAAGGGCCCTGCACCGTTCATTTTTTTTCTTGCCTGAAGTGCCGGACCGAAATCTACATTGCCCAGGCTGGGTAAGGGTTCGGCGGGGAAGTTTACCACAATTATTTTTCCTCACGGCGGCACTATGAATCTTGGGCTCGGGGAAATGCAACCTTTTGGTTTGTCAATAGGTTTGGATGGGGTGGTGTTTTAAACCTGTCAGAGAGATGTTGACAGTTTTTTATTCCAGTTCTTTGGTCTTGAATGCACTCTGCGGCTATTGTGGAGGCTCTCTCTCTCGCTCTCTCTCTCTCTCTCTCTCTTTATCTATCTATCTATCTATCTATCTATCTATCTCTGTGGTTCTCTCTCTCTCTCTCTCTCTCTCTCTCTCTCTCTCTCTCTCTCTCTCTCTCTCTCTCTCTCTCTCTCTCTCTCTCTCTCTCTCTCTCT